TACTGCACATTTATTAATGATATAGTAACGTTACACAGGGCCCTACCTCACTGTTGGTGCTTTATACAGTTGGAGAACTACACTCAGATACACACCAAAAATCAATACTGCATCTCCTTCCCATGATAAATTTTCTCTCTAATGGACTTCCTGTAACCTAATCAATAACAGAGAATAAAATACTAGGCATTTTGGAAAATCACACAGTGGCCTCAATTAAATTGACTTGAGTATGTTGAAATGGTCAGATACCTAGTGGAATTATTTAAACTGGACTATGCTCACTCTTCAGCCTGATTCACACTTAACCCATGACCAACTGTACAGTTACAGAAATTGGGAAAAATTATACTCTATTCATATACAATATGGAAAATCCATCCATCCATCTTCTACCGCTTTTCCATGTCGGGTCACAGGGGCAGCAGTCTAAGCAGCGAAACCCAGACTTCCCTCTCCCCGGCCACTTCATCCAGTTCCTCCGAGGGGATCCCAAGGTGTTCCCAGGGAGGCCGAGAGACATAGTCCCTCCAGCGTGTCCTGGGTCTTCCCCAGGGCCTCCTCCCAGTGGGACATGCCCGGAACACCTCACCAGGGAGGCATCCAGGAGGCATCCTGACCAGATGCCCGAGCCACCTCATCTGGCTCCTCTCAATGCGGAGGACCAGCGGCTCTACTCTGAGTCCCTCCCGAATGACCGAGCTCCTCACCCTATCTCTAAGGAAGAGCCCAGCCACCCTGCGGAGGAAACCCATTTTGGTCGCTTGTATTCATGATCTTGTCCTTTCGGTCACTACCCGCAGCTCATGACCATAGGTGAGAGTAGGAACGTAGATTGACTTGTAAATCAAGAGCTTTGCCTTTTGGCTCAGCTCCTTCTTCACCATGACAGACCGATACAGCGCCCGCATCACTGTGGACACCGCACCGATCCACCAGTCGATCTCCCACTTCATCCTTCCATCACTCGTGAACAAGACCCCAAGATACTTAAACTCTTCCACTTGGGGAAGGACCCCCTCCCCGACCCGGAGAGAGCACTCCACCCTTTTCCAGCTGAGGACCATGGTCTCGGATTTGGAGGTGCTGATTCTCATCCCAGCCGCTCCAGTGAGAGCCAAAGGTCACAGTCTGATGAAGCCAACAGAACCACATCATCTTCAAAAAGCAGAGACCTAATCCTGAGGTCACCAACCCGGACACCCTTAATGCCCTGGTTGCACCTAGAAATTCTGTCCATGAAAGTTATGAACAGAATCGGTGACAAAGGGCAGCACTGGTGGAGTCCAACCCTTACCGGAAACGAGTCCGACTTACTGCGACCATGCGGACCAAGCTCTGACACCGGTCGTACAGGGACCGAACAGTCCTTATAAGGGCGCCCGGCACCCAATACAACCGGAGCACCCCCCACAGGACTCCCCGAGGGACACGGTCGAATGCCTTCTCCATGTCCACAAAGCATATGTAGACTGGTTGGACAAACTCCCACGCACCCTCCAGGACCCTGCCGAGAGTATAGACCTGGTCCACTGTTCCACGGCCAGGGCGAAAACCACACTGCTCCTCCTGAATCCGAGGTTCGACAATCCGATGGACCCTCCTCTCCAGCACCCCTGAATAGACCTTACCAGGGAGACTGAGGAGTGTGATCCCCCTATAGTTGGGAGTGTGATCCCCGTTCTTGAAGAGGGGGACCACCACCCACCACCCACGGTTTGCCAATCCAGAGGCACCGCCCCCGATGTCCACACGATGCTGCAGATGCGTGTCAACCAGGACAGCCCTGCAACATCCAGAGCCTTGAGCAACTCTAGGCAGATCTCATCCACCCCTGGGTCCCGGCCACCGTGGAGCTTTTTAACTACCTCAGCGACCTCTGCCCCAGAGATAGGGGAGTCCTCCCCCATGTCCCCAGACTCTGCTTCCTCACTGGAAGGTGTGTCGGTGGAATTGAGAAGGTATTTGAAGTATTCCTTCCACCTACCCACAATGTCCCGAGTTGAGGTCAGCAGTGCCCCATCCCCACCATAAACAGTATTGATGCTGCACCGCTTTCCCGCCCGGAGCCGCTGGATGATGGACCAGAATCTCTTCGAAGCCGTCCGGAAGCTGCGTTCCACTTGGCTCGCTGGTACTCATCAGCTGCCTCTGGAGTCCCACAGGCTAAAAAAGCCTGATAGAACTCCTTCAGCTTGACAGCATTCCTCACCGCCAGTGTCCACCAGCGGGTTAGGGGATTGCTGCCACAACAAACACCGACCACATTACGGCCACAGCTCCGGTCAGCCGCCTCCACAATGGTGGTGCGGAACATGGCCCATTCGGACTTAATGTCCCCTGCCTCCCCCGGGATATGGGAGAAGTTCTGCCGGAGGTAGGAGTTGAAGCTTCTCCTGACAGGGGATTCCGCCAGACGTTCCCAGCAGACCCTCACTATATGCTTGGGACTGCCAGGCCTGACCGGCTTCCTCCCCCACCAGCGGAGCCAACCCACCACCAGGTGGTGATCGGTTGACAGCTCCGCCCCTCTCTTCACCCGAGTGTCCAACACATGCGGCCGCAAGTTCGATGAGACGACCACAAAGTCAATCATTGAACTGTGGCCTAGGCTGTCCTGGTGCCAAGTGCACATATGGACACCCTTATGCCTGAGCATGGTGTTCATTATGGACAATCTGTGACGAGCACAGAAGTCCAATAACAAAACACCACTTGGGTTCAGATCGGGGGGGGGGGGGGCGTTCCTCCCAATCATGCCCCTCCAGGTCTCACTGTTATTGCCCAAGCGAGCATTGAAGTCCCCCAGCAGGTCAAGAGAGTCCCCGGGAGGAGCGCTCTCCAACACCCCTTAAAAGGATCCCAAAAAGGGTAGGTATTCTGAACTGCCATTTAGTGCACAAGTGCAAACAACAGTCAGGACCCGACCCCCCACCCGAAGGCAAAGGGAGGCTATCCTCTCATCCACCGCAGTAAACCTCAATGTACAGGCACCCAGCCAGGGGGCAATAAGTATGCCCACCCCAGCTCGGCGCCTCTCCCTGCGAGCAACTCCAGAATGGAAGAGGGTCCAACCCCCCTCAAGGAGATTGGTTCCAGAGACCAAGCCGTGTGTTGAAGTGAGCCCATCTATATCTAGTCTGAACTTCACAACCTCGCACACCAGCTCAGGCTCCTTCCCTGCCATAAAGCCCCTGGCAACTTAACTTCTAGGATCATTGAAATATGCAAACCCTTGCACCACGGTAAGGTTTCGGCTCCAGGAGAGGCAATATGGAAAATTGTCTGTTTAAATATATTATTACCTAATTTGTTGATTCCCGCTATGTAATTTAACGTCGTCCAATATTTAAATGAGGTTATTAGACACGCGAATACTTTATTTTGGAAGCGTGAAGTACTTTTAAGTTTTGGAGGGCAGGCGTAAGAAAAACTAAAAGGGGCGTTATTTAAAACAAACGAAACCACGAGATGCGAAAACGGAAAGACTAGCACTGGGAAGGGCGCAGGCAACAGGAGGACTGACGTTAATGACCGAACTCACGAGTGTCTGACTGGGAATTACTTATACAAATGACTAACGAGGGGCTGCCACGACGCAGGTTCGGATAGTTAGCACAATAGGATTGGGGATAACGAGCAAGACGTGAGAATTAGGAGGGAGTCAGAAGACTCGCAACGACCCCTGCTGGTCAATCCAGGGCATAGGCAGGTAAGGGTTGTGGCACTATCATATTTAGTACTCATGGTATTGCCAAGAAGCATAAATAATGTAGTTCCTTCACAAACAAGTAACTGTATTGTAAACGTTGGACTGCGATAATTTCAGTTATACTGGATTTGGTAATTTAACCTCAGCTACTCACAGAAATCAGTAATTATACGTTGTTGCATTTTAATGACATCGTTTTAAATACAGACACAATTTAAAATGTGAGCAGATTTATTTCTGCCTTTTTGAACATGTTTTTTGATAAAAAAAAAATCATTTCATAAAGTTTTGCCATTGAAACACATTAACATGATAATTTCTTTCATGGTACATGTAATTATGACGTCTAATTTGAGTGCTGTACGTATCATTATAATACTAGTGAACTACGTAAAACACTATATTGAAATAAGCTTATATTATGGGAGTATAAAATATTTAAAAACATGCTATTACCATGGTACAATACAAAAAGCTTAACGGATTACCATTGTATTTTAACTGAAGATACATTGTAATACTATGTAACGTGTAGTAACGTGTACGCCAATAAACAGTGAAAAAAATATTTGTTTTTTTTTCCACATTTTGTCAAAAATAAAGTAGACACTGGAATTTAGCAGGATGTTTTCACTGTTAATAAGCTTCAAGTGTAAAAACAGCCCCTTTTTCTACTACCTACATGATACACGTATGACTGACCCCATTTTATTTGTGAAAAAAAATCAGAAATCGGACTGGTCCATATGAGCCTGGTTGGGTCCTTGTGGCTCACGTTTTCGGGGGGTTTAGTATTAGATCTTCAATTGTGCTTGGCCAATTTGCTGAAATGTGTTTCTGACTTTTCCCCCCACAAATCACTGTTTGTCTAACAAATGCATTTTCAAAATGATTAACAGTGTAAGTTTTGGAAATAGGCTTCCAATGTTGAAACGGCTGTTTTGAACCCCTTCCGCTGTATGAGCCTGGTTGGACCAGTTCATATGGTCAATTTGTTTTATTATTCACTCTTGAAAATAAAAAAGGGAAATTTCGGGGTGATGATGACGCCATCAGAAACCACACAAATCACGAGTAACAAAATGCCACTGTTTACCAACGTTCACGTTAACGCATTGTAGACATAAATTCAATGGGATCCCGAATCGCTAACTGCAAACTATCTTTACAGCGGTAAATTCATGGTTTTACCACAGTAGTACTATTATGCTTTGGTTTGATGATAACACCACAGTACTTTTTTGTAAGGGACACGATAAGTATAGAGCGTTTCAATCAGAGGGTCGGTGCCCAAAGAGCAGGTTAGCCGAATCACGACGCTTGCAGCACGCGCCCGTCTGGTTAATATTACAAGCATGGGAGGAAGTAAATAAAAGGTCTCAAACTGGATTTGTGGGTGAGGATCCTCCATGCTCAGCTGTCAGCAGTCGGAGTTGTAGGTGCGTAATGTTACTCGTTAAATATGTCTGCATTTCTAAGCATAGATGCATTTTGTAAAACAATCCGTTTGCTTGCAGTTTAATGGAAAGTATATAAGATATAGACTGGAAAATCGTTTCTGTGAAAAACTGCAAACTATATGCTGCAAACACGCGCCTTCGCAGAACGCTGATCTTCGCAGGCCTGACGTCTGATCTGGCGTCTGTGCGCTGCACATTTACTTTAAATCTAACAGGTTAATAATAAACAACTTGGATTTATAAACTTATAACAGCGTTTTCGAGAAAGTACCGCGTCAGTAAAAAACAACATTATCGCGACCTCTGCTGGACATGACTCTTGTTTAGGCCAGGCTGTGAGAAAATAAAAGCATATGCACCATTTCCTTTTGCAAGTTTTTAGTTGCCCAGCGATTTTCACTTTTTAATTCTTGATTTGCACATTTTTGATTCGTTGTAGAGTAGTTCTCATCTTTAGGCTTTTAATTTAGGGAAAAGTAACAGAGTACAGCTTCTACTATTCAAATGCGAAGTTAAAACAGCGCTAACTGCTATGATTTAGTGTGATCGTGTCATATCACAGGTACAGGCACAGTGTAACATGGAGGATTCCATCGAGGTGATCCTTCAGGACCCTGGCTGGTTCCTGCCTCATTACCGGGATAATTCCCTCTTAGCCACACTGGGCGGAGCCGCTCTTACGGCCTCCTACGGCCTGTGGACAATGTTCGTGCTGCCTGGCTTTCGAAAGGTCCCCATGAGGTTAAAGGTACATTTTGTGTGCTTGCTTTGTGTGAAGCTCAAAGTTGCCTCAAAGTGTCACCCATCATTTAATTTCAGTTCACATTATTGCAGATGTAGGCTTAGTTATATGGTACACTTTCTGGAAACTAGGTTTTACATTGTTTTTTTCCTGCAAATATGTTACAGTATATGAAATGAAGCAGAAGGAGGCAAAGCAGTATTCAAGAAAACTGAAAATTGTCTTGAGAATTCCTTAAAGTAGTCCCTTTGCCCAAATTTCCTTTGGCATCTATCTATCTATCTATCTATCTATCTATCTATCTATCTATCTGATAATGGATTCACAAACATGAGGCATTCAGTTGACAAGTTTCAACTGGAAATGAAAGATGTCTTATCCTCCCAACTCTTCTGTGCAGTTTTCACAGATTACCTTTTACTCTTCTGTGCAGTTTCTCTCTAAATATTGTGGGATTTACACTATTCAAAAGTTTTTTGTAAATTTTCTACATTTGCCTGTTAACATTTATTAAAATACACGCTTATTTGCTAACAAATAGATTTACAGTATGATCACCATTTGAGTACCTTTATTAGCAAGAAAATGTCATATCTTTGATTCATCAAAGTAACCTCCTCAAGCAGTTATAACATCAGAGAAAATTCAAGGCATCCTGGGCTCTGTGCCAGTAACTGTAGGGTTGCTGGTTCTAATCCCATGAATGCCCAGAGTGATTCTGCTTCGTTGGGCCCTAGAGCAAGGCCCTTAACCTGCAATTGCTTTGTCCTTGGTATATGACTGTAATCTACATCCAAGCCCTATAAGGAGGCCCTCCAACTTACAGGGAATAACTTGGGGGTTGGCACTCCAGCGTATTTTGTGGCTTTGAAGTTTGCAAAAGTATGCAAAGTAACACATGTCATGGTGTGAAAATATTTGGCGGGAATTCCACATAATACAGTCCCTTATATATTGTACTTGGATGACTTGTTGCACACTAAATTTATAAAGTCTCCCATCAGGAAGGGTATTTGGATGGGGGAAGAGATTTGGCATGACAGCTCATTTGATGAGAACTGTTACGTATTTTTATTTTTACATGATTTCCTTGTAAATGTCACTGCTGAGGTTATGACATGAGAACAAAAATTTGGATAGTTATAATGTTGAGTTAATTTTTTTTTTAAGCATCAACACGGATTTTGATGTTGATTACTCATTTTTCCAATAATTTTTCCACCTCCTATTTGCTTTCCCAAATAGGAGGTGAAAGAAAGTACCCTCTCCTTCAAGTTTTTTTTATTTATCAGGGCCTAAAGTAACAATTCTGTCATCCAATTTCTTTAAAAGTCTCACTTTGGGTGACGCCAAAAAAAATAAATAATCAATTTTCAGTATGAAACTATGGGGAAAAACCAGTGCATCCTATGTGGCCTAAACCCTCCCTGCTTCAAACTCAATTCATTTGAGTAGCCAGGTGCACAAGATTAGTTAATCATCAATAAGTGTGATTACCTCTTTCAACAGAAAGTCTGGCAGTTCTGGAACACTCTGGACTTTGTTCATATCATGCCAAGAGGTACAGATATCAGCCATGACTTCAGAGAAGCAATGTTGCTGCATGTAAATCTGGGAAGGGTTATAAGGCAATTTCCAAACATTTCCAAATTTACCATTCAACAGAAAATCCCATAGAGCAACATCACATGACCTACAGGCCTCAAAAGACTGGCTAAGCATGGCTTTCATGGAAGGGTGGGCATGCAAAAGCCCCTTCTCTCCAATATGAATATGGCCGCATGACTTAGGTGTGCAAAATTGCATCGGAACACGCCTGGAAAGTTCTGGACAATATTTTTTCTACAGAAACCAAGGTGATAATTTTTGATCATCATGCAGAGCATCATGTTTGGTGTTAAACAGCTATCACCTCGAACATCTACCACAAACTGTTAAGCACATTGCTGGAGGGGTGATGATTTGGGCTTGTTTTGCAGACACATGACCTGAGAAACTTGCAGTTATCGAGACTGTCACGAGCTCCAGTTTATACTTAAATATTCTTGAGACCAATGTTAGGCCATCTGTCCTACAGCTAAAGCTTATTTGAAACTAGGTCATGCAACAGGACAGTGACACATCAGCACTCCTCAGCACATCAACAAATCAACATCTGAATCGCTAAAAAGAAAAAAAATCAAGGTATAATAACTATTGTTATTTAGGCTCTGATAAATATAAGCATAGGTGTACTTTCTTTTTCCTAAGACTGCATAATATTCATATTTTGCCTATCTAATGGTATGCAGGTCTAACTACAAATGTCAGATGTGCAGCATTTTCTCTAGTCCTTATAGAGAATTAGCATCACCCAGGAATACAGATGTGTTAACAGGAGTGTGAAAGAATAGGCTACTCTCTTCACATTGCTGCTGTTATCTATATATGTGTGAAAGTTTTCAGACTTATTACAGAGAGGCCTGTTTGTTTCAATTGCATTGCAAGCTTTCAGCACAGAAGGTATAAAACATGCATGCAAACCAGTTGTCAGGCACCGTATAGAAAGAGTCTCTTTCAGGTTTTTTTCCCATGTAACACAGTGTGTAGCACCCCCCCCCCCCAAAAAAAAAAAAAAAAAAACGGCAGCTGTTGCTTCAGAAGAAAGCAGCTTAGTTTTTCCCTTCAGTTCAGAGTATTGAAATATTATGACTCAACATTCTTTTCATTCTCAGAGAGTATGCAAAGCCTCGCAACAGGGAAGCATAACTTTTTGAAGGGATATATTTGTCTGTTTACTGTGGATGACCTTTGCTGGCACTAGTATGACATTTGCATACATTGCTGTCATTTGTTGCTTATTCATTTACTTAAGATGTTGCAGGTTGGTGTATCACTCACAAGTACTGGCTGTTTTGAAGTAAGTCATTTAATTGGAGGATTCTGGCTAGAAAATGATACAGTGTTGCGATTTACTGTAGCAGAAAGCAGCGAATGGGAAATTGAATACATGTACATGTATGCTTAGCTTTTTCAGCGAAATCCCAAGTGTCACAGGAAACGTTTATTTCTGACCTGGTTTGTCTTGTATGTCTATGAGGAAATAAAGTTATGTTCAATGGAAATCTGCAGTGCTTTTCCTGTCATTTTATACGTGCGTTTTTGCTTTACGTTAAATGAAGATGTGGCTTGAAGCAGCATTTCAGGTATCAAGTATCATCAACAGGGTTGTCCAGAAATCCAGAATTTAAGATTGCACCAGTGGCGGATGATAATTTTTAAAATGGGGGAGTCACGCTGTGGACAATTGGCAATATGAACCAAAAAAGGTCTTCTTTTAATTTTAGTAGGTCAGCTATTTATATGTTAACTTTACTCTGCTTCATCAAAGGACTTCTTTAGAATTAAGTCAACATTAGCTACTAGTCTATTAAAAATCTAACTGAAAACTCAATGATAATGACTTTATTTACAATATTTACAAATCCGATGGCTAATGATGACATACAAAACAATAAACTGTCACTCCAGGTTTGATTGACACACATTTGCGCACGAATGTTACTGGTAGTTAATTCTGTCTTGTGCAGAGAAGTCTGGCTTCCAGGCAGGTCTAAAATATCAAGTCTACCGGTTCAGTCAATGTGGCCTAAGCAGAAACCACGTATGAAGCTCTCGCAGACTCCCAGCGAGGAACGGCATCTAGGCAGGCTTTGCGAACACATAATCGAAGCATATTGATCAATAATCTTTTGTCTATTCTCCATTTAGACAAAGGGGACAAGAATGTTCCCTCGACTTCCAGTGAAGCATGGTGTCAGTGGCCGTCTGTGGGTTGTATTTTTTCTGGTTTCAAACAGAAAATGAATGTATATGTGGTTAAATTAGCAAGGCAGATTACAGTTTTAGTCATAAATAAAATTATATTGATACATTGACTAATTCAATTGTTTTGGCAATTTTATGGGGGGGGCAGGCTTCATATGCAGTCTTATATGAAGTAATTACCCGCTCATCTTCCAACCACCCCCCCAGTTCAGAGTGACAGGGCCCAATGTAATTGTTCTATTAGTTTTATAGCTGCCGGGGGTCTGATGCCTATGCTGAACAATGTGGTCATGTATTATCGCTCATCTACCTCCACTGGCTGCTGCGTTTGGCGGAAGTCATCTGTCTGCTGGCTTTGTTTCTGCAAGCAGGAAATAGCACGCAAACCACTGTGCGTAGCAAACTGAGTTGGGGAGTGGTGCTTCAGAGGTCTGCCCATGTGGAGTCCTGAACTAGGGAGGAAAATGAGTGTTACAGTATATCCAGCATGCGGTCAGACGTGACTTGCATGTATGTCCTTTCCTGTATGTGTATGAGTATGTTTGGTAATTTTTACATAGCAACACAAACACATAAACAGCACAAGCATAGGCACATGTACAGCAATAAATATGTTTAATGTCATACAGGTCCCTTACTTGCCTTCAAGTGCAAAGCAGACAGCAAATGTCATGAAACTGTTGGAGGGCCGACGGGGTAGGCTGGCAGATCTGGGATCAGGTGATGGAAGACTGGTAAGTGCATGTGGAAAGTTCGGGGAGACCCTCCATTTCCACATAAAAGGACGTCTTAATATTTCAATAACAAACTTGAATCACATTTATATAAAAATGACGGTATAGATGAAATTCTTCAGTAAAATGTTCAGAGAAAAAAATGTATACTTCGCTTGTTAGATGACTGGCTCATTCCCCGATGGCATCTTATTGTAAGTGAAAAGAATGAAAAACTTTTTTTTTTTTTAAAATGCAGTTGTATCTCTACACGTAGTGAATGGTTTGGGGCTTCCATTTCACTGAGCTTGCTGATGACTTCTCACTCACAGACCTGCATGTAACATTATTTCTGTCCACATGTTTGCCTTTGTAATACGACTGCAGGTGTTTGCAGCCTGTTCTGCGGGCTTCCAATGTACAGGCTTTGAAATAAACTCCATACTGCTAGCATACTCCAGAAGAAAGGCCAAATGGAAAGGGATCCCGCCCACCCAGGTCAACTTTGTCAGCAAAGACTTCTGGACGGTAAGGCCACTGCATGCTATTTAAAACATTCAGTAATGCTTTAACTGCACCTTCATAATGCCTTTATAATGCATTCAGAGAACATTCAATGCACCTTCATAATGCATTCATAGAACATTCATAAGCAGCATGTAAGTACACCTTAACATCATAACATACCTTAACAGCTTTAATATACATTAAAAACAAACATTATATGTTAACAATCATAATTATATAATCATGTAATGTTGGTTTCTAATGTATGTTAAACTGTTATGGTGTGTTAGGATGTTATGGTATACTTACATGCTGCTTATAAATGGTCTATATACATTCTTTGAATGCATAATGAAGGCGCACTAAATGTTCGTTGAATGTATAATGAATATGCTGTTAATGTAAAGCGTTACTTAACATTAACACGCATCACTTCAGAAACATGACGCATATTTGCACTGAAACACATTCTCACTTTGGTGACTAGTATGTTCATGCAAAGATGATACATAATATCACATGTATGCAAGCAGGGGTGTAGGAACCAGGGGGACATGTACCCCCCCCCCCCCAATATTAATTTCACTTAATTCGCCCTCCCCCATAAATAAGATTTGCCATTTTATTATTGTGTCCCCAGCGATATCAAAGTCTCTCTTATGCCGTTGTTCACATACATACCCATAAATACACACACAAAAAAATCTTCTACTTATGGAAACTGTTTCTGTATGAGATACGTTTTATGCTGTGCTTTGTATAGTCTGACAAAGGTAGAGTGACCCTTTGAAAAGCATCAGAACATTTAAGTGAAAACATTCATGTATGCATTACATTTGTATTAAAGTCATGCACAAATTCTTACTGTTGCAAGACTACAAGTTTTGGACATACTGAGTTGTATTGGATTATTTTAATGCTACTCATTTTTGCATTACAGTAATTGTTTTAGTTTGTTTGTAATATGTCTCTTATCAAGAAGTATTGCATTGAAATCTAAATATAAAGCATGGTTTGTCTTAGTAAGGTGTTGTGGTTTCTCTCTTCACAGAGTGATGTTTCAAAGTACAGAAATGTGACAGTATTTTTAGCCCCCGGTGTGGTAAGTCTACTGATGTCCAGCAGTAAGCTTATTTTCTTTTATTCAGACTTTCCTAACAACTTATATGGCATGGTGGCTTAATAGATTTCACTGTTGCCTCACACCAGAGTGTAAATGTTCCAATACCACCTCTGCTTTGTGCGTGTGGAGATTGCATGTTTCCATAGGTTTCCATATTGTTAGGCTAGTTGGCATCTCTAACTTGTCCATTGTCTGTGAGTGTATGCGAACTGGCATCCTGGTCAGGATCTATCGCAGCTTTGTGCCCTGTGATACCCCTCCCTCTGGCCAGGATAAGTGTCCAGAAGATCCACAGAGTTACATACAAAGAAAAAAATATCATTATTAACTCTTTAAATCAGACCTCTGTTAATGTAGACCAGGGGTATTCAACTAAAATTTAAAGAGGTCCAGTTAGAGAAAAATTCTTGAAGCAAAGGTCCGGAAGATCATAATGTCTAACCATTTAATAGTGTGATATACACTCACCTAAAGGATTATTAGGAACACCATACTAATATGGTGTTTGACCCCCTTTCGCCTTCAGAACTGCCTTA